GACAAGTCTTTGAGTACCTTTCACTTTCTGATAAGTGGGAATTAGCACCTTGTTGGGTGGCATTAGGGGCCCCTTGTATTGTATTGTATTGTTGGGGGCCTCTTTTGGTACACCTGGGAAGTACAAATCTTTATTTGTTTTCTTTTCTTTTCACCCTTTTCCCAACTTTGTGGTGCCCCCTTTGGCCCTGGTGCCCTAAGCACGTGCTTAGTCTGCTTAATGGTTAATCCGGCACTGATCGTCATGAGTCGTCGCGCGCGTGCGTGCGTGCATACGGCGCGTGCGTGTGCTGTTCGACCGGTCAGCTTCGTTGCCAGGCGGAAATTCCGCCGTTTATTTGCGCCGAGATGTAGAAGTCTGTCTGCACCGTACGCGCGCTCTAGGCCGCTGTACATCGTCTGCTATCGTGCTGCCACGTATTGATCCGTCTATCCAGCGTTCGCGTACGGGATTCGGATCTCTCTCTCTCTCTCTCTCTCTCTCTCCCCTCTCCCTCTCCCTCTCTCTCCCTCTCCCTCCTTCTCTCTCGCTCTCGCTCTCGCGCTCCAATCGGCTGCCTAGCTTACGTGCGCGCGCGCCCGCGACATTTTGCCTTATCGTGAAAGTAGCGCATTAGTGATATATTTGCGGTCGTATGCTACAGCTAGCCTCACTCAACTACGTCTTTTCCGATTTACTACTTCGTACTTCTCGCCAGTTACACGCAAACTACGCGTACCACCGGTTTGGTACTATACACACAACTATAGCTAGCTGCGCTCAACCACGTCTAGCACCGTCTTGCTACTATACTAGTAAGCGTAGTTACTAGTCCGTCTTTATACAGATATTTACGCCGTCCATGTTTAGATTCGCTGACCTGCGGGCTACCTACCCACTGGATAAATAACGCAACTATAAGCGAGCACTTCGCAGCGATTTCATCTGACTAAACTTCAGCGACAGTTGAGCGCGTTTGACGGACTCTCGCTGCGATGGGCGACATGACGAGCGTGTAATCAGAGTTAATAGTGCCGCTGATAATAACGGTAGCAGAAACCGAACCGAGTCGGACTAAGTGCCCCCAGAGCGGACACCGTACGCTAACTCCCCGCTGCTATACTGTGGCGCACGCGCTATAGCAGATATTGCTCTCCGCGTTCAGGGATCATCTCCCGCATCCCTGTAACTAGATACAGCAGTGTAGCCAGTTTTAGAAGGACTGCCGGTCCCCGTGCGCTGTGATTGATGACCCCGGCGTAAGCTTAAGCGATCGCGGCTGAGAACGATACGTCATTAGTCTCCAGCCCGCAAATACGTGGCGGAGTTTTTTTTATTTCGTTGGCGTTAATACGACGGCAAAATGGTAATGAGATTAGAGCGATGTCAGTGGCAAAGTGGGCGGTGAGAGAGCGGCGAGGATGCGCATGTAACAGTTTATACGACAAGTTCGTTTCCGAGTTGAGCGCAGGAGGAAGCCAATTGTTACGTACATCACTCGGCTGTAGCGCGGACTGACGAGATAATGAGATTCCCGAATTAATGAAGTTATCAGCTTTCATCTACAAATACGCGATATCGATTCGTGGGCCGACGTATCTCGGGCGCAAACTCCTTTACAACTTGTTACGGTCCCTTTGTGAAGCCAATTTGTCATCACGAGTGAACTCACACTGTTTGCCTGCTAACACGCCGACGACCGCCAGACCCGAGAGCAGCTCTATACGGATGAAATAAAAGGATGATTAATCACAAAACAGTGAGAAACGCTCACGCACGCGCAAAGTTGACGGCTCTTTAGATAACCGGGTCTACGCATCTATATCTCGCTTCATCTACTCCCGAGTTGGGTTAAAACACGCTGGTAGTCCACGAAGAACCGGCGACTGCTCTCACACGAATCCTACAACATTTTCAGTTTAGCGCATTCTCGGTTTTTTTATCATTTGTACATATTTTTTAGAACAGCGCTGACGCGCCCGATAACACCGCTGAGGGGCATTAAACTAAACGGGTCGCTGCATGCGTTCGTTATCGATACGACTTCACTACGGTGCAGTTTTCCGCACGGCTGCTGACATAGCTCAGCGTCGCCCTGTCACGTACATCACGCCAAGGCTCGACTTAATAATACACGAATATTCTAAACGGCCAAAGTTTTGCATATCGACTTCTCGTGTTCATTAGATATTGTTATCTTTGGCTGCGCGCCTTCCAACATCCGTACTTGTAATGTGGCTATTATACTATCGTCATCGTAATTGTGGTACGCGTCGGGTGAAGTCACACCCAGTGCTAAACGTCTGTCATGTACAACACATAAAGAACGCAAGACGGAGATGTACGTATTTAAAGCAAGTACATATTTAATGAACAGAACTTAACTAACGTATAATCCCACAAACGGGACAGAAACGCGTACATATGCTTGCGCGGTTTCTGAACATAACTTACGATTGCAATATACGGTATGCGGTCGCAGAGACGGTGTACAAAGTGTCTTGAACGGATAAGTAGAGAGATTGCCGGAAAGCTGCCCCGCACAGCCGTGCGGGCCGTTTTATATGCGCGTTCTCTATTGTCTTTCTCCTGGCCAATAGACCTTATCCTGCGCGCTAACTGGCTGTCACATAATGGGACTGCCCAGTCAGTGGTCAGCGTTTAAACAAAGCCTCCTTCTCCAGCTATCTCCATATAACACATATTTATAGCACTAGCTTTATCCCTGACTTTCATAATTATTTATGAACTAATTTCTCTGTATTACATACTCGACGTTGTATTGATTAAAAGAGGCGCCGGAACGTAATTGCTGAATAGGACTGTTTTAGACCGGCAAATAGACCGTCATTTTTCACGTATTAACTTTATCACCGCGGACATTTTAAAGTCGCCAATGTTGCGTACTGCGTGCGGTGTTCGACCGTCCGCTACGCTCTGCCGTATTTTCAGCCTTTACGCGCGACATACACGGCAGCTCGGACGAGTAATAAGAAAAACTACTATTACTACTACTACTACACACTGCCGCTGACGCTTAATACGAGCGAACGCTTGATTGGCGAACTCCCGACAATGAACGGCCGTCTGACGGTCTGTCTGCAGATGACGGATATATTAACTTGGAGCCGCGTCCATGGCGCGCCGCAGCGTTATGTTACAGTAACTTACATGCAGTGTGATTGGTGTTTCTGAGCGGAAGATAATGAAGTCAGCACAGTTCAGTCAGAGCTTTATACGCGCGCAGTGCAGCTGTTCACACCTCCTACGTTATGCATGCGAGAGGGTGCGCGCGCGCGCGCGCGCGTGTGTGTGTGTGTGTGTGTATGTGTGTGTGTGGGGGGGCGTACGTGCGTGTACTGCGTGTGTGTTTATGTTTCTACATACATGCAATTATTTACCCGATGATCGATAAGTGAAGTGTATTTTGCTGACAAGAGTCGATAACTCGTTCAATAGATGCGCATTAGCTTCTCCCCGTGCCAGCGAAACCTCTCCATCATGTCCGCGGCCATCGCACTGCGCGAGAGCGAGGCTGCATCATTGACATGCGATTGCCTCAATACGTTTTTCTGTCCGCTACAGATTTAGTAACGCTTATAGCACAGGCACTTGGACCGTTTCAATAATAAAATGATGGTTAATAAATACAACTTGTCAGTACTACTACTAGCCCTACCAGTACCAGTACCAGTAATAGTCTTAATGTTTGATTTGACCTAATAACTTCACTTCAACACCGTCCAATACACCGCTGCAACACATAGCACGCACGCCCTTGTGCACGCATGCACAAATACACAATAATACAGTGATAATAAGTTAATTATGATGATAATTATGATGATATTATGATAATATTTATCATAATGATAATTATGATAATAATGATGATATGATTAATCATTAATGATTATTATAATCAATTATAATCATTTCAATGATTATTATAATCAATCATTAATTATTATTATCATTAATAATTATGATATTAATGATAATAATAATGATAATATTTAATTATGATAATATTTATTATGATAAGAATATTATAAATATGATAATAATTATGATGATAATTATTATCACTGTGTATTTGTGCATGCACAAGGGCGTGCGCGCTATGTGTTGCAGCAGTGTATTGGACGGTGTTGAAGGGAAGTTATTAGGTCAAATCAAACATTAGGACTATTACTGGTACTGGTACTGGTAGGTCCTGACAAGTTGTATTTATTAACCATCATTTTATTATTGAAACGGTCCAAGTGCATGTGGCTTACAGAGTACACAGCGCATATACGCAGTTCGTTTGCCGCGCGCCAACAAATAGTTATCAGCTAATGACAATCTTTAACGATCCCAATATGCTTGCTTGAAACCTGCTAGAGTTTTAGAATATATTTAATAAAACTGTTATGGATTCACGAGAATTCTAAAGTTTCTCCGAGCACTTAGCACAAAACGTATAGTTCACGGAAACGATGAATAACCGAAAGATAATGCCTTAAACTGATCTTATTATCGAAGTAGATAAAACGCAGCTTAAAATATTGATAAACATACATTTTCTTAATTTATAATTTAAATAATTTATCTTCTTTAAACATTAATTTTGTACTATTCCTAACTGCCTATTGGACAAATCATAATTGAGTAAAGACGGTGTACGTTAATATTATAGTATTTATTCTGCCCCGATCAGTGGCTAATAAGTGTACAACGTGTGCTTTTCAGAAGATGGATCTGAACAAAGATGGCGTCATAACGCTAGATGAATTCATGGAATGTTGTCTAAAGGTATGTGTCTGTTTCGCCGGGCCGTAGCCGTATTGATTAACAGACGACACTGCACGACTGCACTGTACACGAAGCTTGCTCATCATCCGAAGACACGCGATCGGTTTTCTACGCGACGTATCGAATGTAACCGTTAAGTCGTGTTTATCGACAAGGCATGAAATCGGGCTTCACGCTACAACCCCCCCCCCCTGCCACCACGCAGCTGTCAGCTACTTCTCCTATTCCATCTAAGGAGCATCGATACATTAAGGATCAAAAGGCGCAACAGCTAACTGCGGCGCCCAGACGTTTTTCTTCGATTCAAATACGCCCCCCATCGGAATTCGTCAAAGCTGCACTGTGAGCGGTTACGACCCGTGAAATCTTTCACTACGACGCCAAGCGTCTTGTTAGTACGAAGCCAGTCGCGTGGAAAATTGAAATGCTTTCATCACCCGGCATTCTCTCGCAAACCATTGGCGCGAATAATCGGCAACGAATTCTGAGCAGGAACTCGCGGCGGCTGTGTCGGTTAAATATGGGAGAGGATGTGTCAAATTGATTGTTCAACTGAACAGTCAATTTAATCATTCAAACGTTCAATTGATCGATTAATTGTTCAATTGAACAGTCAATTTAATCATTCAAATGTTCAATTGATCGATTGATTGTTCAATTGATCGATTGATTGTTCAATTGATCGATTGATTGTTCAATTAAACAGTCGTTTAATCATTTAAACGTTTAATTGAGCAATCAAATAACGAATTGCCAAATTAAATCGCCGAATTGACGATTTGATGAATTGACGAATTGACACATCAAAGGCACGAATACTGAATAGGCGTATTGAATCATGGAATGGAGCAATTGCCGAGGCTCGTCTATCGAGCAATTGCCGAGGCTCGTCTATCGAGCAATTGCCGAGGCTCGTCTATCGAGCAATTGCCGAGGCTCGTCAATCGAGCAATTACCGAGGCTCGTCTATCGTCAAATCAAACGTATACCTACTGCACATGCGCACAGAGGCATGACGGAAGGCGCGGTAGCGCGTACGTTGCTAGGAACGCAATCGGACGGCGTTTCCCAGCTAAGTGCGTGTACCCGCGTGTACGTGCGTGTACCCGCGTGTACGTGCGTGTACCCGCGTGTACGTGCGTGTACCTGCATGTAAGCGTGCGTGGTAACCACGCGTGTACGAGGCTGTGAGCCCGCGTGCAACCACGTACAAAAAACAGCACAGTACAACGACACAGAGGTACACGCACGTACCGCACGTAAACGCAGATACAACCACGTACACGCGGTACACGCCACGTACACCCCCCCCCCCGTCGCGGTGCACGCAACGTACACGCGATACACGCACGGTAAGCGCAGGTACACGCAGATAACAACGCAACGTAACACGTCGGTGGTACAACGGAGATACACGCACAGCACCACGGCGGGTACACGCACGTGCACGCGGGTACACGCACGTACACGCGGGTACACGCACGTACACGCGGGTACACGCACTTAGCTGGGAAACGCCGGCCGATTGCGTTCCTAGCAACGTACGCGCTACCGCGCCTTTCGTCATGCCTCTGTGCGCATGTGCAGTAGGTATACGTTTGATTTGGCGATAGACGAGCCTCGGCAATTGCTCCATTCCATGATTCAATACGCCTATTCAGTATTCGTGCTATTGATTTGTCAATTCGTCAAATCGTCAATTCGGCGATTCAATTTGGCAATTCGTTATTTAATTGCTCAATTGAACGTTTGAATGATTACACGACTGTTCAATTAAACAATCAATCGATCAATTGAACGTTTGAATGGTTAAATTGACTGTTCAATTGAACAATCAATCGGTCAATTGAACGTTTGAATGATTAAATTGACTGTTCAATTGAACGTTTGAATGATTAAATGACTGCTCAATTGAACAATCAATCGATCAATTGAACGTTTGAATGATTAAATGACTGCTCAATTGAACAATCAATCGATCAATTGAACGTTTGAATTTTGACACATTTGACAGTTAAAACCGTCACTATTCGCGAGAACGCCCTATGGCGGTAACCGTATCTCATCTAACCGTATGGACACTTTTTTCTCAACAGGATGATGCGATTATTAGGGGCTTGGCTGTACTAGACACCGTGTTGTGATGTCCTCAGCAGACGGTTCGCGCAGCGCCATCTGTGGGATAAAACGACGAAATAAGCCTTCCTGTTCATCGATCGGATGTCTGCCTGATTGTCGACAGTGCACTCGGCTGCCACAGTTGGTAGACATCGGCACGACTCTGGATATTACGGACATGAGAGCTTAAATATGAAGACTGCAACAGTAGAATGTGTGCGATACGCAATTCGCGTGCACCGCGCAGACGACAGTCTTCGTCTCTCTCGCGGTATCACGCGGAGGCGGTCACGTGTCAGGAGCATCGTATTTCACGTGATTAGTCGACTTTCCGCTGAAGAACATGAATATACTCACAATGAAATACATGCCCGAGTGACACGTACGCGTCATCCGCCGAAATGTGAAATGACGTCACTGTCGTGCGCGCTGTTCGCGTGCACGCTCTACCCCCAGTGCGTATGACGTCATAGAGACAGTCGTTTCGGTCGAACCGCGCATGCGTGCGAACGCCGGATATTCGAGAAGCGGCGAGCGACGGCGGAAGGACGCATCTGGAGGTGTGCCGAACATGTGCCGCACGGCAGGAGAAACGAAACATCGACGGACCGGCTAAAGACGCAGAAGCCACGAGGAGGGCGGACGGATGGCGGATTTACGGATGGAAGGTCTTCGGTGTGTGTGAAGCCCCATCACGCCTCCTCGCGCGCACTGTCGCGGCGGTCGCGGCGGTCGCGGCGGTCGCGGTTTGCGTGTAATACGCGTGTGTGTATAAGTATTACGAACGAGGGTGAACAGATGGCTGGTTGCACTGATCACCCGGAATTAGCACCTGGGCTAGGTAATGCTAACCCTGGTGGGAATCGACAAAAATAAGTTCGATTAAAAAACCCAACCCCGGCGAAGTTCGACGTTGTTTTTGAGAGTCTCAAACTGATCTCCTTTGCTCACGCCATTATATGTATGATTGTGCAACACCTAAACGTGGGCAACAGAATAGTATTGCACTGTACGTTCGTAGCTCCCCCTCTCTCTTGGAAGCACTTGCACCTTTCAATTCACAAATTTCCGCCACCAGGTGACAACGTGTTATTAGTTATGTAGTACGACCTGCTATAGTCACGCAGAGGCGAAGTGAACACGTTCACGCGTCTTTTTTTCATTCGAAATGTATTTATATACTAATAGAAAAGTAATAGACTATATACTGTATAAAGTATTAACTTTCGCCTCTATGCGTTTGGCGAAGGATTTTTTCGCTGTACAGATGTTTCTAAAGATTTGTATTCACGGATTGTCGGCATATTGCGTATAATGTATACAGGCATATCAGTGTCACACGGTGAGTAAGCAATGTCGTAAGGTGTCGCATCTTGCTGGAGTATTCAGGGTAACGGCCAACTGAGTCACAGTTTAAACCATTAGGTCTCTCACCAACACTCGCCGCATAGTTTGCTACCATTCGCTACTCATGTAGAGTAGGGGTCTTTGTCTGCACTCTCACACACATCAATATTGGATAGGGCACGCATACATAATAACATCACTCATATACGGCTAACAAGAGTATGAGCGCATTTTCGGACGCGAGTCAAATCTCGTTTCTCGGTTAATTCCAGTTGCTGCCATTCTCGGACTAGCTGTGCACTTGCAGTTAACAACTGATCTACTTTAACTTTTGCGATGATCTGCCTTTTAGGTCACGGTTAGCGGACGTTTAGCGCCAGTCCCGTGAGATGTTTCATCCGTTTATATCTTTCGTTCCAATACGTAAACGGGTACTATCCATGCACGGTTACGGCCTAACCTCCACTCCACCTGAATTTGGAATGTTTGCACTTATAGCGTCGGCTTTCGCCACAATACTTAATTATCATCTCGAGATTGTTTCGCGTTTAATTAGCAGACCTAGGAGTAGTTTGCGTATGCGGCAAACGAGGAAGGAACGGGCGGAATCGCGTGCGTTTTACATTCGTATGGACTCGTCGTGAGTTAACGGCATCAGAGGTCACGCGGGACATACTGGGTATAAAGCGACTTGACGTCACTCTATATGGTATAATTCTAGAGCGACTGTTAGAGGAGTTGACAGCCGAGGGGTTGCGTCCATTGCTATACGTAAAGTACATGCGTTTGAGAATTTAAACACGTACGTGTTATTACGTATATAACTATAGGTGCCAATTCAACACGAATACACGTACGCGCGCACACACACGCGCACACACATACGCGCACACACGTTCGCACATACGGACGCACCCACGCGCGCACACACGCACGCACACACGCACGCACGCACGCCCACACACTAGTGTGCGCTCGCATACACATACGCGGACACAAACGCATGCACGCACGCACGCACACATCATCGCTCCTACGGATAGGGACAAATAAACTGTTACGCATATCTGCGTTGCAGTCATGTATACCATGTCGCAGCGTGAAGCCTGGCCTGTACACGGGGGCAGGGCCAATCACCTGTTACACCGTGTACTATTCCATGTACGAAGTAGCGCGCACTAGTATACGTGGTTACAAAATCTCTCGTCTACACATTAGGTGTTCTATGCTATTCGTATCTTTTTCGAAATTTGGATGTCGTGCGATTTTTTTCTTTTCTTTTCTTTGTAAAAACACGCGACAATTGTAACAAAGTTGCTCTACTAGCATATACGTGTGCATAGATCGTCACTGACGTCACTTCCTCTTTTCGCTCTTCTTTAAATATTATTATACTCTATCGGATACAAAACCGCGATTATGGAATGTACAGTACTTATTCAACTCGTCTGTTGAAAGTCGTCTCACTGAAGACATTAGTGCTATTGATGATCATGTGGTGCCAACACAGTCAGTATTTACTAGATGTTTATGTGACTGATTATGTTTCACAATATCATACGACGTAAGCTGTATGCCCGCGTACGTATTGTGACTCCTACATAAGAATATCTGTAAAATAGAGCTTTTTCTTTGTAGGTTTCGGAGTAACATTCAGATAGTTAACTGCGCTCGTGAACGTTCAGATAAAAAAAAGCACATGCACCCTACTACTTACCGAGCCACTCGCGACGTGCTTTTTATGTGCGTACAGAGACAACACCAGGTATGCTCCCATCAGAACCTCCCCCCCCCCCTACCTCCGGAGCGGAAACACAACTCATTTCGCTACCTATCTCTGTAGGGATTTGTACCCACGGCCGTTTCTTGTTCCGGTAATCATCAGATTATCTCGGGTTCATCTTCTAGTCTAACGGTGCAGTACTGTTTACGTAATGGCATTTGTCATTCGCGGTGTGCTGTGTGAGCATGCCATGATCTAAAGGAGAAAGGCGCTTCACATCTTACTAAAAATTTTCTTGTCATGGCAAGCATGCAGTCGATCGGAGATAATTTCGGCTTCAGTCTGAGCACGAGGACGTTTCTATTATCTTGAATTAAATACAATTTAGCTGCGGGGCGCGCGAATGGGTTGAGGCGAGTAGGGAAGTTAAAATGCGACTCCGGTTCAATAGGTTTTCGCAAATTGCAGTAATTGTACTCCGGGATCGACTCTCAGACGCAATTAGTGGCAATTAGAACGTATCGCCGTAGTTTGAACTTAATCGCAGCCCTTCTTGCCACGACTCGGCCGCATTTGTAAAATGTTTCGAATGCCATGGCGATGCATTTGATCTTGAGTTTGGCAGGCACGACAGACATTTACCCGTGGTTGGCCAGGACAGCGTAAAATCGCATGCTGGAATGCAACAAGCAATCGGGGCCCCGTTGTGAAAAACGTCGTAAGTATAGGTATGACACGCACCATAAATCTAAAATGTCGCGAGTTTTGAAGTGAAGTGTCGCGCAAAAGTTATGACATTTCAGACCTGTGATAGTCATTACTATTTACGATGTTTCTGACAACGGGGCCCAGCTTACTATAGGCGCACCAGGTACAAACAGCGCGGCTAGTCGAAGACAATGCGAAAAAAATCCGTGATAGTTCGGCAAAGTTTGGACGAGAAAGGCAAAAATGTACAATCGCAGTTCACTCTTGATCTCTGACGACAATTGCCACCCTTGCCGTCCTGCCTTTCTCGTTCCAATGCGATAACACGATGTATGGCTCAACAGATTGTTGAAAGCCACCGATATGCTACAACATTTACTGTTCTCTGTCATTGCCGTGGGGCCAGGCGTGGGGCAGTATCTCATTGAGTAACATTTGCCGTGCACACTAAGTGTTAATATAGTTTCGTTACGACATCTTCGGTTTTAGGTCGTGCCGGTTGTCACAGTGTACGCGCGCGCGCGTGCGTGCGGTCGCGTTGTGTGTGTGTGTGTGTGTGTGTGGCGGATGTGTGTGTGGTGGTGCGCTGTGTGTGGGTGTGTGTGTGTGTGGGTTGTGTGTGTTGTCGTGGATCGTGTGGTGTGTGGCTGGCACCGAGCTTTCAGCATCAGCTGTGGCATTTCGCGCAGTAAACCGTGACGCTGTTCTCCAGAGCCATCCTTGTTGGACCGTACAGGCGAAGCCAAAGTTACATTCATATGTATGACGAGGGTAATGTCATTATTCCTCTCGAAAATACGTTATTACGAAGCATGAATTACACATATATAGTGTTTAAGTCGTTCGTTTTGTTTTAAAACGACATTTACTATTGAATCAGCACTAAACAAGAGCTGTCGGCATTTTATATATAATTATGATCAATAATGTATAAACTGTGTATGCCAATAATATTGTCTATATATAATATAACGCCTATTAAAACAATGTTTGTTTTACCTTTGCCATACATGACAGCTGATGGGAGGACTTTTTTCATCACTGTTCCACATTTTATTATAGTGTCCGAATCTACCGTGAAGCGTAGAATTATACGGATATGTAGGCTTCTTTAACAAATATACGGTTTAAACATTAAAATAGTTATCACAATAAACATTTACTAGAAATTAATTAACACAAGTATGTGGTATCTCCATTTAGATACTTGATGAACACCCGGTATGAAATCAAGTCGTATGTCCTGCTAGAGTGTGGGATGCATCGTCAATGCGTTAGTAGTCCAGCGGATAAGCACAAGGATTGTGTACGTTTGGTTAGAATTGTGAAACTTTGCACACGCGTACTACATGAGGTCCTGAAGAATTTCTGATAATCATAGTGCCAATTTAACAGCGCCATTTAGTGGCGTGTAGCGCCCCCTGGATTGTTAACGGGTATTGCGTTATAACACTCTTAGGGTTTGGGCTATAATTTCAATAATACTCATCCAATTTATTCAAGAAAAAGCTTAAATGATTCGTAGATAGCTATACTAATATTCTAGAAGCAATTTATTGAATGTAGCAAAGTTGAAACAATAAAATGGTTAAAAAAATTATGAAAACTATCATATTAAATTACCGATATGTCAAAGATCATCGTCACTGCAGTCTTGTTAACATAGTGTATTTGCCTACTAAATAAGGAACATTTTTACATGTAGCATGCTCACGCAGAATAGAGAAATTTTGATATATCAGGTGGCGCTGTTCAATTGGCACTATATCAGAAAATCTTCAGGACCTCTTCAGGATATTGATGTTATATTTCGTATTACGCGTGTGCATTCTAACCACAATTCTAACCACAAGTGCCCAATATATTAGACTGTAGTATGTGCACATTCCTTTGTGCTTATCGGCTGGACTATATAAGAAGTGGAACAAGTAAAATGTAATAAAATAAGTACAGCAGATGTCAGGCACGATAGTAACCATGGCACCTCA